AAGACATGACATTATCTCTGCATTTCATGCCATTATTGGCGGTAATGTTGTCTCTATTGCCACACATATTCACGTTTGCGTTCAATGTATTGATGTTTGGTTTGGTGTCAATCATGTGATTACTCCTGAGTTGTGTCTCGACATTGAGTTTAGTCTTATTGTCGCAATGATTGGCCGCATTCGGAGGCATTTGATCCTCGCTTTTGATGATCACGAAGTCTTGTGAGGCTGTCATCGGAGCCATCATTTGGTCGCCGAGCGGAGTGTTTGGACCACTACTCGAAGCACTGGTCGTGCCTTTGGAACCGCACCTCTTCGGCTCCAAACCGTTGTTCGTGTCGTTCATGGGTTGGGAACAAATGGCCGACTGTTGGGCAGAGGGCGCAGAGGGAGGGCCGACACCTTGAGTGGGGCCGCCGTTGCCCTGTGTTTGGGCTCCCGTTTGGCACAGTATAGGACTGACGCCCTTCTTCTCCAGCATTTCTCAGTGCACTTCTCGTGTGGACATAAGTGTGGATCAAATGTGTTGTTGTGATGATAATGGTATGGCTTGTGTGGAGTCACGCCTCCAATCGACTACACATTCACTCGTATTATAGACCGCTTTCGACCAAAATGTCTGCTTTTGTTTGTCTCTCAACACAAACACTACAAACACTGCATACCTCTGGGGGGCATTAGGTTATCACAGGGAGAGCTGAATCGCATCATATTGTTGTCCATCTGTGGGTAAGGCATACACAACATGTTTTGTGGTCTGAACTGACTTTCATGAGAGTTCATCATTCGAGGCGCCGACCCGTCAAACACCGGACCACCGAATCTTTGGTTATTGTCGGGAGGAGTCATAAATCGGGCACTCATTTCAAACTGGTTTCCACTCATATTAGGGTTCTGTGGATTGGATGCAAACCTGGCGTTCATGCCATCCATGAGCGGGAAGTTAGGCATCCGTTCATTAGTGGCAAAGGGTTGACAACTGTTGGCGAACTCATTATTGAAGCCAATGTCGAGATCGGAGGCGTGCGCTATGAGGTCAGTGTCTCTTAAGCTAGTGTTGGGCTGCTTTTGAATGGTAAGCTCTTGTCCTTCAAATGTGTTTAAGTATTGGATCTGTTGAGGTGATGGCACAGGCATTAACGCCGGTTCTTGTTTATTGCAAATGAAAGGCGACGAACAATTGGTCGCTACTGTGGGTCCCATTAATGGCACGTCGTTTGGATGAAGCGGTCGATTGGGTTCGCCTGAGTTGATGAGTAGATCGGAACAGTCGCCCAAACCCTTACCGGTCATCAGATTTGGCAGTTTCTTAACGTTGGAAGGGCTATGACTCGGGCCTATACTGGACGGAGTGTTGGCCCGAATGTTCGTCACGTTATTTGACCCTTGATTTCGACCGCTATTCTTGACGGCCGTCGAGGAGGAGGTGTTGGACGGTATGGTGTTTGGGGCCGAAGACACAGACATGTGTTTAGACCAATGGCCAGACAGACTGCTGTTGCTGTCGGCAGAAGGAGTGGGCGGACCGGGACTCGTGTGAGTCAGTCGCGCACCAGAAGTGAACTGCGAGTCAGCGGGCGATTGCATTCTCGGTGATGGCATGGGTAGGGATCCGGTGACGGGTGAGGCCGGGTGTGGACTGGAGTGCGAGCGTATGCCCTGATTGTAAGGCGGCGGTGGTATACGACTGCCCGGACTCTGCGATATGCATGGATTGGGACTATTAAGAGCTGATGATGGCTGTGATAGAGGAGACTGATGTGAAATTGGCACTGAATTGTTAGTGTTGTGGACTCCCTGTCCATTGGCTTGTGATTTACGTCTTCTGTCGTCCAAAAAGTTTGCTTTTTGCCACTCAAGAGATGCCGCGCCAGAAGTGGGAGGCATTGATGTGTGGTTTTGAGTATTATTAGGATTGGCTATCATTCTGGACGGATTCATATGAGGGTCAGTGTTGGCCATTGGGTCCGACTCTGACATCGGATACATGTTCTGATCGTTGATAAAGTCCGAGGCATTCATTGGCTGATTGGGTGCCGGCATTCGCATCATATGACCCATAAGTGACGGATCCATCATTTCTGGACATAACTGTTGTTGCATTGAACGAAGTAATGCCAACTTCTTCACCCGATTCTGCCTCTGCTCCTCAGTTAACGTCTCGTCCGGTATTTCTGTCAATAAAGTCGACATAAATATACATTTGTCACGTATTTCATGACATATACATACCCTGTGGTGGTTGTGGAGGGCCTCCATGTGTTGGGCCTCCCATTCCAGGATTGGGTGAATTATTAAACATTTGAGGATTTGGTCCAAAATTATTGGATCCAAAGGGCGGACAACCCCTAATGTTGGCACCGATGGGAGAGTTTGTGAAAACGTTATTAGGATTAATGTCTGAATTTTGAGCAAACATTTGTTGTTGTGGTGCCGACCAATTGGGGCCGGCGTTAGGATTGGGACACATATTGTTCATATTGTTAGGCCAGTTGCCGCCCATTCCACCCCCAGGACCCGGTCCTGACGTATTGCATGGACCCGACTCTCGGGGACCACCGAACGAGTTCTTCATCATTGAGGGATGCATTAGGTGTGCGTTCGACACATTCGGCTTAAGACCTCTTCCGCCCTGTTTTTGTTGAGCCATATTATTGAGCCAAACGGCCGAACAATTCCCCCGATTGATGGGTGCTTTCAATGGGAATTTCTCTAAAAGTCTTTTGGTCTCGGGATTGGCGCAGTGGTAGTCAATGATGGACGCAAAGGATCCCTTGTCCACAGCATCTGCCGCATCGTTCGCCACTTTGGTGTTGAACACAAATATTTGACTTTGTTGTTGCATATACTGGGACTCCATAGTCATCGATGACTTCTGCGGCGGCATATTATTGTTGGCCACCATTTGATGCATATTATTGTGCGGTTGTGAGTGAAGGGGAGCGTTGATCGGCATCCGGGGTCCCTGTGCTAGGGGTGGACCGCAGGGCCCGCGTCCTCTCATTCTAGTGTTCATTGGCTGAGACATTAGGGGAAACGGCGGTAAATCACCTGAATATCAATGCGATAGCAATGGTTAGTAAATTAGATGATATGTTGAGGACAAGTGTCAATATATGCGGTAATACCTGGCACTGGAAGGTTACCGGTTGGCACTGGCATTGGTATCCCGAACTCATTTCCAAAACTTGTTAACTTATCTATTCGTACAAATGTTTTCATTCATTAGTCAATATAAATACATAGTATTCATGCAATTAATGCAATAAAAGTTGTGAAAAAAGTGTTTTAATTATCCAAACATTACTTTCATTTGTTTAGTGATATTTGAATAAAATTGCATTCAATTAAAAGTTATTTGGAGATGACTTTTGACGCTAAAACTCAAACACGCCTTTAGAATATTGTCCCATAAATCTTATGATAAGTATTTGAAAGGTATCTCAATCTCAATGAATAAAAAAAGTAAATTTTTCTCTTCTCGTTTGAAATTCATTTTAGTTGTGAAAAGTTGATAAAAACTAGTTTTGAAGACAATATACAGTAGTTATAGTGTTCATGGATTGTATAGAGTCTATAGACTGAGTTGTATAGACTATAATAGCGCACAAATGCCGAAAGGGAGCAATGCGTTCAGAAACGAGTCCATCATCTGAGAGGCTCAGCAAAGGGAGGAAAGCAATACGAAAGCTATGTTTGAAAAACTTCACTACATTTGTGAGCATTGGATGCGACTTCACTTCAGTATCGTTATGAGGGGTCACCTCTCAAATTGTTGTGCACTCACTCTACAGGGTCTACACAAGTCGGAGCACTGCAGCCAATGCTATGCCATACACTCTCATGGTGTGTATGAGCAAGGTCATTATTCAATGTTCAATATTAGAGGCAGGTCTGCGTGTGATGAGTGCGAGAGAGAGAGAGAGAGAGAGAGAGAGAGAGAGCACACTTTAATCACGTAATACTATATTAAACATCTATTTGTTATACATAAGAATGTATACAAAACATGTTATGTTACCTCAATTTTCTATAGTAAGTTACCATCAATTTAGTGGTAACTTACTATACATGCTATTCATACGCCTTCTTATAAGGCATAATGTATCACAATATAAGAGATTTTTGCACAAATAAGGTCTAATAAACGCTATTTATTTTTAGCCAAAACTTATGCCACAGTATGTATTGTGGTGTCTTTTCTCTCTCTCTCTCTCAGCCATACATTGGCTTTTGTTATCGGAGTTAAGAACTCAATATTCAAATGCCTTTAATTCGATCCAAATTAACGTCTATTTGAGACTAATTGAGGGATAAATAGTTGTCTCACTGTTTGTGTCAATATTTGAACGACTAATTCAAACGATACGACAACTAAATGTTGAGAAATTGATAAGCGATTACTTTTAGCTAAACACGTCTTGTTATATAACAAATATAACAATTGCTATTAACTATCGCTTCTGTCACTAACAAGCGTTACCAACCATAGGATTAAAACACACAATATATGGCCATTAAATCTAATTAAAAGCAATATTTGCGTACAAATCAAGTAAAAAATATTAATTCAAATAATGAATACATTTTTTCGAGAACAACAATAAACAGAGATTACAATATAGTTGTCATAAGATTTAACGTAATAATAAGCATGTGATGAGTTATGGCAACACTTTTACTGATTAAATATGACGACAGAAAATTATCGTTAAATGTAATTCATATATGCATTCAAATCATAATCAGTAACTAATTTATAGTACACTGTATTTGAGAAAAGAGATGGTATGTAAAAATGTTTGCCTAAACGTGGTGTACAAGTGGTGCGAATGCGAACCTATTGGTAACTTTGGTGCCGTAATTATATCATTCAATAGTTTGAACATAAGTTGAGTAAACTTTAAAGTAAATGAATTCATGAGAAAAGCATTCAATACTTATAACGCAATGGTTTTGGCGAACGAGTCGTCAAATATAATACTAGTTTTTCTCTCACTTTCTGTTTATATGTAAGCTTTTTGATAGCAAAACGTTTCACAATAAATAAAATTACATAATATATACTCTTTAAAGCATACAATCTATGAAATGATAGTTTTAATGGTTGGCCACCACTTCAACCCAATTGCGGGCGATTGTCACCCAAACAGAGGCAACAGTAGGCATGCATTTCGCTCACTAATGGGTTGACCACTAAATTCAATACAATTATCAATTCATGTAATCATAGTTACCGTCATTTAGTAGATGATTGAGTGGAGAGGTATTGTTGATGCAATTCATGCCATTCATGGGTCCATTGATGGCACCGTTCGCACCACAAGACATGACATTATCTCTGCATTTCATGCCATTATTGGCGGTAATGTTGTCTCTATTGCCACACATATTCACGTTTGCGTTCAATGTATTGATGTTTGGTTTGGTGTCAATCATGTGATTACTCCTGAGTTGTGTCTCGACATTGAGTTTAGTCTTATTGTCGCAATGATTGGCCGCATTCGGAGGCATTTGATCCTCGCTTTTGATGATCACGAAGTCTTGTGAGGCTGTCATCGGAGCCATCATTTGGTCGCCGAGCGGAGTGTTTGGGCCACTACTCGAAGCACTGGTCGTGCCTTTGGAACCGCACCTCTTCGGCTCCAAACCGTTGTTCGTGTCGTTCATGGGTTGGGAACAGATGGCCGACTGTTGGGCAGAGGGCGCAGAGGGAGGGCCGACACCTTGAGTGGGGCCGCCGTTGCCCTGCGTTTGGGCTCCCGTTTGGCACAGTATAGGACTGACGCCCTTCTTCTCCAGCATTTCTCAGTGCACTTCAGTTGTGGACATAAGTGCGGATCAAATGTGTTGTTGTGGTGATAATGGTATGGCTTGTGTGGAGTCACGCCTCCAATCGACTACACATTCACTCGTATTATAGACCGCTTTCGACCAAAATGTCTGCTTTTGTTTGTCTCTCAACACAAACACTACAAACACTGCATTGATAATGGTATGGCTTGTGTGGAGTCACGCCTCCAATCGACTACACATTCACTCGTATTATAGACCGCTTTCGACCAAAATGTCTGCTTTTGTTTGTCTCTCAACACAAACACTACAAACACTGCATTCAATCATTCAATGCATGAAACGAATGCATTTCCAAACCAACACTTCAGTCAAACCAGTCGTACAACTCATACGACCCTCAGATGGCACCACATTCTCACCCATTGTCTTCATTGTGTGCCTCAACCCCAGCACTCGCTGTACTTGTGCTACGCTGTGTACGCCTACGTGGAGTACAGCGAGCGCTGTAAGTGTGGCAACAGTAGTGACGACTGTCTATCATATGATACATACGTCGTATTGAATGACTGTTTGCAGCTGTGATTGGATTCAGTGTTTACTTTGCTTTCATTGCAGTCATTGTCCACAATATAGACGCACTTCAAGCACTTCCAGTCACTTCCAACCCATTAGCCATAACTACCACT